AGAGATGAAATGAGAGACAAAGACACTCTATTTATGGATGATTTTGGCATCAATTATTATTCGTGGACATAGAAGTAATTGTTTCTTCGTGTTCCTGAGATAGCTAACGTCTTCGTATATGACTCTCACTTCCCAACCTCATCGTCACAATTGTAACAGAGAGAGAGAGAGAGAGAGAGAGAGAGAGAGAGAGAGAGAGAGAGAGAGAGAGAGAGAGAGATGCAATGCAATATGAACAGCAAACACACAAGGAACCCCGCATGACGATGAGGTTGGGAAGTGGGTGTCTCTTACACCAGAATACGCCTACAACGTCTTCGTATATGGCCCCCACTTCCCAACCTCGTCGTCACCGCTGTTACAGATTCCACGCCACTTGTAGTCTGCAGTGTGCTCTCTAGCATATGGTGTGTCGCATTGATTGCTTCCGCAACAACCAATTGTCATCCTTGCATTCTTTTGCTCATTCTCTCCGCTTCCGTTGATGCCCTGGTGAGGTCTTCCAGGACTGTGGATATGTCCCCCTGACATATTGGAGTCCCCGACACTAGTTGATTTTCATCCTTTGTGCTCTCGACATCAGCAAGCTTTGCCGCTGCTATTGTGTCCTCTGTCACCTCGTGTAAGGCCTCGTGAATCAAATTTGTATCATTTTCTGTCTTCAACATGAAATCCATAATTTGATCGAGCAAGACGTACTCGACATCGTCCACCACCACTGTTGCCAAATCATGGTAGTCAACAGGGTCTGTTTGAGGTAGCTCGTTCTTCCTGCTGAGTGTCAATATCTTCGATGCATTACTCTTCAATATGTCATGCGCTTCTGTCTTCAACATTCGAGCTTCCTTCGCCCGAGATGTGAAAACCTTCTTGAACGCTGATCTGTCGTAAAAACCACCTCCCTCTCTCTTACTCTTGTCGATGTCTTCGTCATCACACATCCATTCCACAACTCGCTGAATGGTGTACGCAGAGCAACATGCCAACGTCTCGTCTTTAGCCACGTACGCACTTTGTTGTAAGCGATGCAGCAACTGCTGCGCTCTCGTTGATTTCTCTCCGTTTGCTGCTATTGACCTTTGGATATCCAAGGTGACATTGAAGTATGCCGGTGCTCTTTCGCGTAATAGTCTCAACTCGTCCTCATTGTCATAGTGGATTCCCTCTGTCACGTACTTCATCACCTCTCTCTCAGCTCTCTCCACTTGTTCCGCCGTCATTGCCGTCATTTTTCTATTTTTTTCTGAGTCCGTCTGTCAGTGCAACGACAACAGTGACGTTCAGTCCAAAGACGGGGGGGGGAAAGGGGGGGGGGAGGAAAAACAGAATGGCAGATATGAAGGTTTTCGCTTTTGAACAAGATCCTCAAAGAAGCTTACTCTCCTCTCTTTCTCTCTCTCTCTCTCTTTCTGTGTGTATATATATATATCGTCACAAACAGTATATATATAAATATATATCGTCACAAACAGTATATATATATATATATATACTGTTTGTGACGATATATATATATACACACAGAAAGAGAGAGAGAGAGAGAGAGGAGAGTAAGCCTCTTTGAGGATCTTGTTCAGAGGCGAAAACCTGCATATATATGAATCTCAACTTTGCACAAGCAATGCAACACACTTTTGAAGGGTCGCA